GGACAGCAGGAAATGTGGATATTCACCTGCAGATCATCTGAAACTGACAAGATGTATTAAACAATATGAGGACAATGGTAGCTGGAAGAACACGTGCAGAAACGGACGTGTTGTTGCCCAGTTATATTTTATTTTTTACCAGTTCAAACAGAACAGTTCACTGGCATCTGTTTTTATAGACAAAAATATAAGACAACAAAATAACCAAAAAGAGGTTTCTTGGTAACTGTTCAGTTTATTTAGACAGTAAAGCTGAGCTCACTCATGACCATAGTTTCCACTTAATAATCCTTTCAAAATAAAATATAATGGCAAAAAGATGCTAGGACAGTCGGGATTTATTTTTCCTGGAAAGCGAGTGGAAGGTGTAAAATTCTGTTGAAAAAGCATTCCAAGTGGAAAAGCATCATTAAGAAATAACATAGTGTGTCCCCAACAGGTGTCATTGTTAAAAAGAGTGGACTAGTTTTATTATTATTATTAGACCTTTATATATACAGGTTAGTTCCCACTGAGCCTTGAAGACTCATTTACAAGAGAGACCTGTTACATACAACATACAAGCAGATGAGAAAAAGAGAACACGAGGATGGAGGAAGCCAAAAAAATAAAAATACAAATCACGTCTCACACCGTTTCCTGGCGGGGAAGCGATGTGAACGATGGAAAAAAAAAAAAGACCTTGCAGCATAAAGCTGCAACATACAATGACATCATCGTACATTTATGCAGGGGTCGACAAAGCCGGTGAGTTCTCCATAAACACTCCAGAGTTCCAAAGTTCTGTTAAGGTGGTGCAGTGTGTCTCAGCATCATGGCTCTGGTAAGGCTACAGATGTTACATTTCTAATTCATCAGTTTTAACTAGACTTAAAATAAACGGAAATCACTGATGTAGAGGCAATTAGGGGTGTTTAGGCCCCAGAGTGGAGCAAACGAGGGTGGAGGCAGGTGTGGGTGCTTCTTCTTTCCCACACACATTTTGATGTTGTCAGTACGGGGAGTTGAACCAGCGATCTGTGTTCCTTGAGGACTTTTAAGTGTCGTGACGGTTCCATTTTAATTCAGAAACGGAGCGAACGTTGAACCGTTTCTCAGCCGAAGTGAAAATTGCAGTTTTTCTTTTCCAAACTGTTACAGCCGTGCAAATAAACCTCGAGGACTGCAATGAAAATGATCAAACCTGAACATTTTGTACATTTATTGGTTATTACTGCATTTTGACACGTTCTTAAGGAATATCTAGTTTGGCACAAGAAGCAAATATTTCATGCCTTTTATAAAAAAATAAATAAAAAAAAGGAAAGTCTATTCAGCTTCTGGTAGAGTAAAAACAATAAATCAGAGTGGCATTTCATTATTTTTTCTAACATTACACAAAATAATTAGATTTTATTTTATTTATACTTTGGTAAACCTTGTTGTATTTAACGAGGATCAATTCAGATGAGTCAAGTGTTTTTGTCTTCCTTCGATACTATTTAGATTTTTCTTTCCATTTTTTCCGCTCAGACTTAAAGCACTTTGAGATTTCTTTGTTGTTTGTACAGACATTTTCTATCCCAGCTCTGTTGGAGAATTAGGGGTACCAGCTTTCAGCAGTCTGGTGGGCCCAGCAGCCCCACCGCAACATGCTCCTATGTGCTTTATTTGGCACATATCCAGGAGGTGTCAGAAATATAGACACGCTTTCACGTGACGAACACTCTGCCAGCCATCCCCCCCCTGTTTTTAAGCTCGGCATTCTGTCTGCCCAGCCAGGTATTGAAGGGCCCCGTGAAAGCTCTATGAATAGTGTCAAACTTGATAGTTCTCATTTTGCTTCCTGTACATGGCAGAAGAAAAAGTGCCCACCGTGTGGGTTTTCCTTTTGTGATGGCCCTTTCTAGTCCTCCTGGGAACACACCACATTCCAGCCACAATCGTTCCCTTTGTGAATCTGGGTATTGTGGGTGAGCCTGTTATGCCGATAACCCTCCGAGCTCTCAGCGTAATGCAAGCAAGTATCATAGAAGTCTAGACTTGTATTTTTGCAAACAAGGCCTGATAATGAGCGGAGTGTTTTCAGCGATTTGGCAGCCCTTTTGTTTTGGCACATCCCCTCCGGTTTATGAAGGACCTTTTGTGCTCATCCACGCCTAAGATGTGATTTAAGGTCTGCAACATCTGGACACATTACCACACCGACGTGCCACACACGGGCCCCCCATGTGTCAAATATACTTTATGTATCTGTAAACGCAACACCATAGTCTGACCTGCGAATCCCAATGGTATCATGTCTTCTGCTCCTCAAAGAGGAGTTTTCGTGCGTGCAGCCACCAGAACCGACTCGACAACAACACGCACAACTGTTTTTGACGGCAAACTTGATTCGCCTCATTTCAGACGATACTCTTTTTGGCGAGTTCTTTATCATTTTTCAAACGTGCATGACGTATTTTAATAGACTTTTTTTTTTTTTTTCTTAAACGCACGAGAAGTTTCTCTCGTCTGTAATTTAACATATTTTAAACAATTGTCGATTTAAAACCTTATATCAAGCATAAAACTGTTTTTACAACTTTTCCCAATTACCAGTTTGGAGAAAACCCATGTGACGTTGTTGCTGTGCAGCACCGTCTTGTGTGTTATTGTGTCATGAACCGTTCCCCCCTCTGGGTGAGGAGAACATGTTTTCCTCCTCTTTGTGACAAGAAGGAATTGTTAAGGTTAAGTAGATGGGGCAGCCGGAAATAATTACCAAGCACTTGTGAAGTCCACCCCTCCTCCCATCTGTTTGTTTTCTTCTTTCATTTGAAGTCTTTTCAATGTGCAGATCTTGTTTATGATTAAACTCGCTCCGTTCTCGGCTCTTGGAGTGGCAGAAGATGTTTTACTGAAACGAGCAGTAGTTTAGCAGTTAGACCTGTAATTTGCGGGGCTTAAATACCCTCGGAGGCTCCTTCGCCGAAGGAAAGGCGGGCTTTTGTGTGGGGTTCATGGAAAATGACCCCCTTTCTACAAATCAACTGGCAGATGACAGACAATGATGAAAATTAGATTCTTTGAAGCCATAATGGCCATTGAAATGTGTAAAATTCTTGAATTGAAAGGAGAGCGCCCTGGTAAGCCCTCAGTCCTGGGTGGCTGCTGTCTGCGTGCTGGGAGGTTCGTCTGTGTTTTGTCGCCAACTTCCCATTGCTTGTTTGCTAATTCCCTAAAGAATTGGACCAGATCTTTGATAGGAGCCCGAAGGGGCTCTAGGAGCTCAGGAATATGCGTTCAGTACGCCCACCGGCCCGTCCCACCCCTCCAGTTGTCACACGGGTCTGCTTTGTTAATGGTCTGGAAATAATCAACGTGAGTATTACGCATTCATTTCATCAACGTAAACGCAAAAATTATATAAATTATACCATAAAAATGGCTTTTGTGCCCCCCCCCCCCCTTTTTTTGTTCTCTAATCCGTTATCGACCTTCTTTACGTATGTTTGATCTGGAGCCTGAAGTGAGTTCTGCTTAGTCTCGTTTTGTTGGCTCTGTCCAGCGTCTGAGCAGAATTCTGCTCCAATCTTAGAAAAGATCCAACTACACATCTAACGTCTGCTGCAGGCATCACAATCCGTATCTTCAGCTTGTTGGTGACGGTGTTGGCTTCTGACAAATGCACTTCCTGTACAACAACTTTCTAGTGCTGCTCCTGCAAAGCAGTTTTATTTTCTCTGTAGCAGCATTGACTGTGTAAAGAGGGAGCTGCAGTGAGTGAAGCACAGGTCTGACATTGAAATGTCCATTTAACTTGCTTAAAATGTGTCTGTAATAACAAAACTATTATAACGTTAGCCACACTTAGCAAAACAAGAGCATTCCATATAGGGGCGCAGAAAAAAATCGTCACGAAAGAATTTTGATTCCTAGTCCTGTTGATTCTGAATCGATTCTAAAGGCCATAAATCAATTTCAAAATGCGTTTGTTTTATTTTTTTCCGATCCTACTCCCGAGCGTACTGCATATCGCATTACGTGTCCACCCATCACTGTAGCATTTGGCCTTGTAGGCCACCGTACAGCAAGCTAGTTAGCCAGCTCCCTTTATCTGAATGGAGTCCGTTAGCGTGGACAGAGAGATTCAGCCGCTCCTTCATCGTTAAAAGTCAGTGTAAAGTCATTTCAGATACTACAATGTTCCAAAGGAAGACCGCTTGACAAGAGCACAGTTGTTTTCAAGAAGTGAAAAATAAAATTGCGGTACAGTATTTTGGAAATGCAACAAATGCGCAGAAGAAAGATGAAAAGCAGCAGAGCAGCGAACTCTGCTACAAACTTCCAGCTGCCCCAAGCAGGGCTGTGAAGATTTCCCATTACATCACTGACTATATCACAAAGGACTTCCGAGCGGACAGCTCAGTGGAAGACGAGGGGTTTAGGTTTATTTTAAACACGCTGGACCCAACGCACGTTATTCCTTCACGTAGCTTTTTTAGCGATGAAGCTGCGCCACAACTCCACCATGAAACAAAAATAAAGTGGGAGAAGCTCTGACGCAGCTGCAGCTCAAAGGTAACTGTTATTTCTCATATTACACTGAAACTTCTAGACAAGTTTTACAACAAACTTTATGTAATTTGTCTTTTTAACAGGTTGAAGAGGCCAGATGAGACGCATCACCTGAAGTCCTAAATGTTACAATTTATGGTTTATAAATTACAGTTCAGAAGTTTTTGCGCAGGTTTTGAAATTTTGTTAAAGATTTACCAAATATGAATCAATACGGTTAAGACTGTGCAGTCTGTATATTTCATATTAGGTTAAGTTTTGAAAATATAACAAATGTTAGAGCAATATGGTTAAAACGTAACTGTGAAGTGTGTATTTCATTTTGAGTTAAAGGTTAATGTACTATGTATGGTAGGCTGACGTCTGTTTACTTTTGTATTTATATATTTTGAATTATTTGTCTGTGATGGACTGGAGACCTGTCCATGTGTCCCCCACCTCTCACACAGTGATGGTTGGATATGGGAACCAGTGATACCCGTGACCCAGAGAGGAAGAAGTGGGTAAAGGTGATGGATGAATTATTTGTTCCTAGTTTTTTGTTTTATTTTAGAAAAAGCCAGGCAGCTAAGCTAAACTAATACTGGTAATTTAAGTTACAGAATTTTATTTACTCCTCTAGTTGTTACTATATTTGTCATAAATATAAAATATTGCAAAAAGATTTGATACATTAAAGAACGTATTTAAAAAAAAAAGTTCTATTTGTGATTATTTTTTTATCTTTTCATCTTGTCTCTTGCATATTTTAAACAAAATTCATGACCATTTCAATAGAAAAATAATTTCTGAATCGAATCGTGACACCAAAAATCAGAATTGAATTGAATCACCAGACGCAGAGATTCGCACCCCACTAATGTCGTAATGCATTTATTACAAAGTACTGCAGCCATGAGCGTGGAGGCTACAGACAAGAGCAGGAAGATGAACAAAGCATCCCAAAATAAAGCTCAAGTTAGACACTTTCTTCACACGTCTGTGTTGTTACAAAAGTTTGTTTACGTTGTTCTGCATTCATTTATTGTTAATCACTTTATTCCATGGTTCATTAGCAAAAAAACATTTTATCAGTTAAATCTAGTTTAGATTTTTAGTAAACCTACAAAAACTTTTTGCTTTATAGGGCATCGTGATGTAAGCTCCAAAGCTGGTTGCCTCCGATGTCTGAATTCTCCTTTGTTTGTTTGTTTGTTTGTTTGTTGTTCATCTAAAATAAAGCTTTGTGCAGTTTTAAAGGGAATAAAATGACTTTTTTTTTTTTAACTGTATAGCAAAAAAAAAAATTAAATAAAAATAATAAAATGCAGAAAGCACAGAAACTATGAAAATATAGTCCAAATATTTTAAAAGTTTCTACAGAACCTTTTTTTTTAAATGTTCACTACAGATTTTTCAGCGTCGCTGTTTGAACTTGAATCAGATCTTCAGATTGATGGAGCACTAAAGCGTAAAACATGAAGCAGTCGGTTGCATGAATCCATTCTTACAGCCAACCCTTTCCTCATACAGAGTATGTTTTTACTTTTTGACGTCAGCAACATGTTGTCAGAGCCCAAAGTTGTAATTTTTAAACACCTGTGAAGAAACTTCCAGATGATCCTTTGGAACAGACACATAGATGTTTTTTGGCTCCATGAAAAGAACTCAGTCAAATGAAAGATAAAGTACTTTTTGCAACCAAAAACATGCCACGGTCAGACACGCCGCAGTAGAAATGAAGTTTATTATATTATAAAACTGACCAACATGACATGATGACCTTGTAATTTGTTAGCTTGTGGGTCACAGTAGCCCAACGTGCCTCTTCATTTCTGGCGCTGCTTTTTATGAACTTGTTTTCGCTCAGAGATTTATTCACATCCAAAGATAATATTCTGAAGATGTTAGCTGTTACACCTCTGCAGCTTTCACATCCCACCGCGCCTGTTAGTGCTGGTAGTCAGAAAACAGCTGCGACACAAGTCTTTGTCCGAGGTTTGATTATATTTTGTGTAAACTGTAATGTTGTTTATGAAAATCAGGTTAATACAATTTATTTTTGATCCATAAAGCATAATGGTGTGAACGTTTATGAAGCACGCACACTGTTGTGATCCATTTTTCTTCCATACGTTTGTCGGCATCTTTCTCGTTCCACAGTTTTAGTGCCATTTCAACATAGATCAAAACATCCAGCGTGTTCAGCAGAAGGGTGCTATGACTTTTGATACTGGTGCAACTTTAGCTTTTTGAAATATTTAGCCTTTTCTGACACTTTTTTCCCTCATAGAAAATGAACTGAGCTCATTTTACATCCTTCAAATCTTTAGATGTGTTTACAACCTTTTACTGCTCCTTTCACATTTTGTTCTGGTTCAGCTTCTTTCTGCTTCCTTGTACAAATTTAAACTTTTTTTCAGCTACTTTCAGCTGTTTTTTCATCTGTTTTGTGCTCCTTTCAGATTCTTTCTGCTAACTGTACATTTTTTGTGCTTCTTCTAACTACTTTCTGCTAATTTTAGCCTGGTATGCTCCTTTCAGCTTATTTATGCCATTTCAGCTACTATTTTGCTGTTTTATGCTAATTTTAGGTTTTTCAGCTAATTCCAGATTTTTTGCAATAATTTAAACTTTTTTCTGCCTCATTCAGCAAAAAATATGTTCTCTCCACTTCCTTCTGATAATTTAAGCTACTTCTTGCCTTTTTATCTACATTTCAGCCTTTTTTTAATTTTTTTAGATAATTTCCACTTTTCTATGCTCATTTCTGCTTTCAGCATAACTGGGCAACGTTCTTTCTGCCTTCTGCTGCTAATTTAAACTTATTCTAACTTTTCAGCTAGCTTTTTAGCATTTTTGAGCTAATTTCAACAGTTTTCAGATAAATTCAAAATTGTCATGTTAATTTCTGCTACTTACAGTGTAATTAACTTATTTATGCTAATTTATGCTTTTTACTTTCAGCTTTTTCTGCTCTTAACTACTATTTAGCTCTTTTGATACTAGCTTTTTTTCTCATTTCAGTTCTTTTTGCTTTTTCAGCTACTTTTCAGCTAATTTCAGCCTTTTTTAAGCTAATTTCATTATTTTTGTGCCCATTTTTTCTTATTTAAACCTAATTCAGCAAACATGTTCTTTCTGCTTTCTTCTGCTAATTTACGCTGGTTCTTCTTATCTTTCAGCTACATTTCAGTTTTTCAGCAAGTTATTCTGAAATGAACATTCACACTGCATTTTCTGTGAAAATGCAATTTTTCTAGTTTAACAATTATTTTGTGGTTGTTATAAAACACAAAATTTACTCTTGAGAGTAGCAAAAATTAGGAGAAGAACCCACGAGATGTCAGTTTGATCCAGTTGCTACCTGACTGCTTTCAGTGATGTTTATGGCTGGGTAGTGACACCAGCCCAGTGTCGTTTTCCTCCGGCAAAAAAAACAAGGAAATATTAACTAAGAGGTATTCCTGTGGAAAACATACGACCGTGAACGTTTAGTGAGTTGTGCAACAATGAGAGGGATGATTTGTGTATGAATCTGTGCATTGTTTTATTTAAGAGTTCAGCCAACGTGTTAGGTTTTGATTAAATAAAACCATTTTTCCGTTTTGAAGTTGAACATTTATGTTAATTTTCTGTGTGCACGTTAGGATATATCCCCTCTGACGGGGATCCCAGAGGAGCATGTGAAAACCCGAAAGGTTCACATCTTTGTTCCCGCCAAAACGTCCATGCAGTCTGGGATCAACAGCACTAAGAAGTGGAAGATGGACTTCGACACCAGAGAGCGGTGGGAGAATCCGCTGATGGGCTGGTGCTCAACGTAAGAGACTTCTACCTCCACGCACCACTTCCTGGTTCACATGAGCTGCGTTGGGTTTGTCTTGGGGGTCTTAACAACCGCCCTGCTGAAAGTTTTTGCCCTTTTATCTTAAGTTTCACTCCACTTGTTCCTTCTGTGAAGCTAAATATATATTTTTATGTTTCAGGGCGGATCCTTTATCCAACATTTTGCTTACATTCTCCTCTAAAGAAACTGCAGTTGCTTTTGCTGAAAAACATGGTAAGAAATCTTTTCCGATTGGAAATAACAAGAAAACAACATAACACAATAAGAATAAGCATAATGTGTTTGACTTTATGGTAATAAGATTCTTAATCACACAATAATCTGAATATGTTCTTAAATAGATTTATTTAGTTATTGTTAGTAGTTCGTAAACGGTTCGAACCACTGAAGTTTAATGGAAGGCAGTTGAATTTCTTTTGGGATGATCATGTCCTGGATGATGAACCACTGAACGGTTGGCTTCTTTGGATTAATGTAAACTTTAAAGTAATTATTTCAAATCTTCACCTGATTTATACCCAGTTGAGCGCAGACAAAAAGCAAACAAAATATTGCAGCCATTTTTGTTTCACGTGTAAAAGATCTGCAGAATGTACGCCCTAAGTGAACACCAAAATGGGTTATTATCTTCAAAGATAATACCTCAGGCATTTACTTAGCATTAGCATGACACGTCTACTGAACATATTGTGCGCTAGGTAGCTAATTTTTCCACACGTCTGTGTTCAACTGCCACACATCAATTGACCATTGCTGAAAAAGTTTAAAATTTGATCATCTTGTTAAAGCTTTCAAAGGTCCCTGGTGGCTTTTTTTATGTCCACTTTAGCTTCCACGTTATTTCTGAGCCCGTTCAGGCCTAAAGGTCACATGTCTTGTTGATGATTCACAGATAATCAACTACACAAGTTCGTACCTGGCATATGTGGCCCCACATGCATTCTGAGTGTGCACCACTTTGATCACTTTTAATTAAATCTCAGCGTTAAACATGCTGACTGACAGGACTTTGCTGTTAAAATGAGAGACTGCATCAGAAAGTCCCTCAAGGCTTACTACTCTGCACCCTTTTTTTCCACTCTTTCTACACGGTACCCCTTGGCTCAGACTTTCAAAACGTTGTTTCCTGCTTTTGCAATGATGCTCACATGAAGGCACCTCACTGTTTTACCTAGTTGTTGTTTTCAGTTAGTCTTTAATGTCAACAACATTGATTATTAAATTCATCATTACTGACAGGTTCAACGCCAAACCGGAACATTTGGCTTTTAGTGAGCAAGTTGTAGAAAAAGAAATCGTGGTTTTACACCTGACTTTTACCAGTCATTAGTGTTGTAAAAACAGTCCAATTAAAACCAGTTTCCTCAAACCAAATACATTAAATACATTAGATTTGGGAGTGGTGGCACAGAGGTTAGAGAAGATGGGCCTGTGATCAGAAAGTCACACGTTCAATTCCTGGTACCATTAAAATGTGAGTGGAAAAGGTGAATCACCCACACCTGCCTCCACCCTCATTTGCCCCACTCTGGGCCCTTGAGCAAGGCCCTTAACCCCCACCATCTTTCTGATCCAAAAGCAGGTCTCTGTTGAAAATGAGTTCTCGTGACCCAATGAGACTACCTGTATAAATAAACAGTAAATAAAAAAAACAAGTCCTCTCTCTGGTGGTGAGTCTCAGTTCATTTCCCACAGTTTCTGTTCTTTCCTTGTGTAAAGGTGACCGACCTCCCGCTCTTTGGACACTCTTTGTTTTCATATATTACACAAAAATTTAAATTTAATGTCCTTTCTTCACACTTTTTAACATACTGTCAATTTATTGGAGGGCATTCCCTGTTCTTTTTTGATCTTTACAATTATTTTGTTATATTAATAAGAATTAAATGGAATATTCATTTGGTGTTTTTTTTGTTTTTTTTTTAGTCTTTAATCCCCCAAGACTGTCACTAGAGAAAAGAGATGGTAGTAAAATCTAGACACTAAACTGGAGGCCTCAGACTGATGAAAGCTGTGAGGGACTAGTACTGAAGGCCTGACCGACAGCTGAAAACAGGCCGGCTGCAGTTAATCGTGACTGATGTGTTTTCTGTCCCGCAGCAGTCAAGTTCACTTTGACTCAGAGAACTGAACCATCTGGGAAAGTTTGTTGAAACCAAGCAAGGGAAACTGGCCCTCTTCTGTTTATTGCACCATGAAAATGATTAGGGATGTTCTGACGACACGCAGCCTGACGATGTCTACAAGACACCTCATTGTTGCTGGAAGTCATCCAAAGTGAACAAACGGGACGTTCTCATCCCCATCACTCACTCTGTTTGTCCTTCAGGTTGGAGCTATGAAGTCACAGAGAAGAGGACCTCAAAGCCCCGAGTGAAATCCTACGGAGCAAACTTCTCCTGGAATAAGAGGACCAGGAGGTCCGCTAAGTAAACTGAAGACCCATCTGTTAGCTGGTGAGACCTGCGAGTGTCCCACAGCAGACTTGTATCATCCTTGTCAATAAATGCATAATTATATATACAAAAGCTAAACATCTGGGTCATTATTGCTTTGACTTTTCAAACATTCACCTCATTACCAACTACCTAATGTTGTCTCATCGATTAATGGAGTGTTTGTTCTCTTGATCTGTCCAACATGAAAAAAAAAAGGAGAAACACGTTATTACAATTAGAACCTGCTTAAACACAGATAAATATATCTGCAACTCAAAGCCAGTGACATTTTTCTACTGTTAACCAATGAGTGTGCATAATATTCTCAAGGTTTGACCAAAACTGCTTCAACTCCCTCTTCTCAACATGAGACGCCGTTCTGTAGAGCGCACTCCAATTTAAGCTGCACACACTAAATAATAATAATAGTAAAGCACATATATAAGCTGCAGATGTCCACATTGTAACATGACTGGCAGCGCACAGCTATGTACAGCTGTTGTTGTAGATCAAGATTCAACCACCAGATGGCGTTTCACCGACTATTTTGCTGTTCAACACAAACAGAGTGAACTCCACAGATCTTCATAACTACCTCCCTCACTCATGGTTACTCTACTGAATGACACAAACTAACACATAATGAACACAAACTAAGCTAACAAGAACAGACTTATCACTAAAAAAAACTATGCTAAACAGCTTATCGAAATTATTAACAATGAACATAAATTTTACCCATAATCCCTTTCTGAGGCCATGTGACTGGAGGTCAACCACAATGAACCAATGAAGTAGTCTCAATGAGTCACGAGGACCCACCCCCAAGAGAAACGTGTGACAAAGCTAAATGTTTTTGGCAGCAGGAAGCTCGTTAGCCCGTCCAAAATAAAATAAAAATCCATAAATTAGCTGCAGCATTACCATACTTTCCGCAGTACATGTCACTCTGCCCTAGAAGTCACATCAGTCCATATTTGTCTAATAAAGTGGGAAAATACCTAAATATGTTGATTCGCCCTATACGTCGCATCCGTTATGCATCACCGCTGACGCGCTGCGTTTGTTACGCGTCACCGCTAACAACCCAGAAACGTGGGCCAGTGTTGTGCCAAAAATCGATGGGCTGTCAAATGGTGGCCGTGGGAGCGTGCACGGGAGGAATTTAACAAGAATTTAACAAGATTAACACTTAAAAACAATTATTTGTTTGCTCGAAACTGTAGTAAATGTGTGTCTCAGTCTAACGTTTGATTAATAAATGCACGTTAATGGTCAAATCAGTGGAATTTCAAAAATAGATTTGCTGCCTCGGTGCTCCTGGGAACGCACAGAGGGAAGAAAAAGGAGGAGGAACGTGGCTCGTTTCTTCAAAGTTGAACAAGAAAAGCACTTAAACAATTGTTTGTTTGCTCGAAATTATAGCAAAAGTGTGTCTCAGTCTAACGTTTGCTTAATAAATTCACTTTAATGGTCAAATTAGCTGCATTTCGCCGTGGCGGTGCAGCTGGTTTGACGGTCGGTCCAAGCAGCAAGCAGAAGGAAGGTGGGGGGGGGGGGGGGGGGACTACGGCATGCCGATTGTGTCATTAATAGCTGGTGAAGATTCTCAGTCATCCAGGACATGGTAAATTCAAAGAAGTTCAAGAAAAAACAACAATAAAGTATAATAAATAAAGTCCAATTGTTTTTGTCTTGAACTTTTATGAATGTCATTATAGCCACGTTTACCTATTACATGATACAATGGCATGCCTTACTGCTACTACTACTCTGCTGCCATCAAGTGGCTGAAAATGGTACTGCTAAAAAAATTCAGTCAGAATGAGTTAGCCAAAAATTGGTTTATAAATATGGGAACAAAAATCATAAATGTGTTGCTTTGGCCTATAAGTCGAAGGGCATGTAAATTATGCAAAAACTGTGACTTATAGGGCGGAAAATACGGTATTTAAGCCGTGGGGTTCAAAGCCTGTGAAAAAAGTAGCAGCTTATAGACCGGACAGTACGGTACATTCATTCAAGGATTTCTAGAGCTTGAATTTAAAATACATTGTTCTTGAATCGACGTTTAAAATGTGAAGTCGAGAAAAAATGTTTCCTGAAGCTCAACAAACAGCACAACCAATGAGCCAAAACCTCAAATTATTCAGTTTACAACCATATGTGGCGAAGACAAACAACTAGAACTGTGATGTTTATAATAAAACGACTGCCAGCTGAAATTTTAACCTTTAAAGGAAATGGTAGATTGATTAGTCAGAATTTATTGCCAGCACATTCTCAACTTTAAAGAAATCATTTCATGCTAACCTATCGAGGTAAACAGCTAGATTTTTCAATAAATGTAGAAATCTTTGGAAAAGCCAGAAGCGTTTGGAGATGCCCAGCTTTGCACACTTTGCACTTGCTGCCAGCGCTTGTTTACGCTCTTTGTGCTCAGTGAACAGTGGTGTTACTTTGCGCCGAGGCCCGAACTGCGTGACTGCGCTGACATTCACACACCAATCATGGGAGCCTAATTGGTATAGACCTTCGTTAATTAACGCACTGCATTGCAAATCTCTCACAGACTTGCGCTCGCCATTTACTTTGCTCCGTCACTCGGCACATCAAACGCGCCGATCTGATATGAGCGTAATGACCCATCTGAGCAGCGAGGGCATGAATGACAGCATGTGTTGCTTTTCCCTTTTGAAAACCCCTCAGAGAAATAGAGGGAGGGAAAAACGCTCTTGGCACAACTTTGTATCATAAAAGTTGAAAGCATTCCACCAGTCTTGGCCTATAAGCGCAATAAATTATGTGAAATGAGAATGGCAGCGCAGTGGCATTGTTCAGGACCATCATTACAACGCAAACATCGGCGATGAAACGCCTCTGATCTGTCCGGCCATAAACATGGGCTCAGAGTGTTGAGGCGTACTCTCAGGCCAAACACTTTAATTGCCATGGAAACATTTCTGACAGAAAGAAAACGCAAAACACTTAAGATTCAAGGATGCACGTTGAAACTGCTCATATTTCTTGGCGTTAACGCTTATATAGTTTCTCAATCGCGCTTGGTGCTCCTCTCCCAGAAAGTTCAAGTTTTATCTGTTCCTCGATATCAAACTAAATGTCAGGGCGTCACAGCGGAGGCATTTAACAGCTACATGTTCCTTCCAGTGTCAGTGTAACTTTGGAGCGTCCACTTAACGTCTCCATGTGCCGTTTGCAGTTGTTTACCTCCCACAAAGATCTAATGAGAGCCTGTTGTGTAGTTTATCCAGAAAATGTGTCGGCGCACATGTGCAAGAGCTGAGAGCAACACATGATCCCACAGGGCAGCTCAGTGGGATCTACGTACAACACAATAAAAAAATAATAATCTGACCTGATTTTCACTCCGTTTTTATTTTTTTCTCTCGCAGCTTTCTAGTCTGTGTGCGTACACGTTTGACTAACTTGTCTGGCGGTTACATTTACTGGAATTCTCTTATCATGACTGGTGGCTTCCCACTGTGGCTGCTCTCATCTAGTGTTGACTTTGCCCCCCATGACTAGGTTAGAAATGTTGAACTAATGATTGAAATTGAAATGAAATCATATCCAACAGCACAGTTTTGAAGTGGCGTGCTTTTATGTTTTTAAACGTGTCCTAGGTTTGTTTTAGACGCAGGCAAAAGTAGCGCTGTAGCTAATCAGCTCTATTAAACAGCTTTAAAAAGGCTGGTGGTGAATGCTCTTCAGCAGCTTAAAAGGGATAGTTCAGATCTTTGGAAGCAAGGCTCAAAAGAGAGGTTATAAACTCTTGTAGAAAAACCTGTTTGGAAAAATTGAGTTTACTCTTAACTGGACTGACAAGCTAACCGCTAGTTTGAGCTAAGCCAAGACCATCTCCATCTACTACCGCTTCTCTGTGGTCGGGTCAAACGCGTCCAGGAGAGAAACCCAGACCTGCCTCTCCCCAGTGACACTCTCCAGCTCCTCCTGGGAGATCCCACAGCATTCCCAGGCCACAGAGGCCACTCCCTCCAGTGAGTTGTGGGTCTCTTCCCAGTAGAAGATCCCCAGAAAACAACCTCCAAATATTTTAATCATAACTGGAGTTTTTTATTGATTTATTAGACCAAGAGTAAAGTGAATTATTGTCAAAATTTCACGTCATTTTATAGCAGTTGGTTCAAACACTATTAAACCTTTACCCCGCTGTCAGTTTTACCATTCACGGGCATTCCAGCAGAAATATTATGTGTCTAACCCAACCTGAATTCGGGCCGGGCGGTTTTATGAATCATACAGCACAAATAAAACTAAATAAGAATGCACAATATAAAATTGTGTTAATCTACTTGTAGAGGAGGAGGCAGGTCCAACCGGCCGTTTGAAAGAGGTAAAAAAAAAAAGTTGCGTTAAGTTCTGATGGACAACCTGCGCGCGTCCGCTGACCCGCCGGTTCACAGAGGTAAAAAAAAAAAAAAAATCCAGTTAAGCTCAGATGGATCAGCTGATCACTGGCCGCGCGCATCTCCACACCTGCTGTCATCTGCGGTGAAGGAAGTAGCAGCATCTGCAAGTTGAAGCAAGCAGCTCGTTCAGATAGCCTTGTTCTGTATTTTTCAAAATAATTTTGCGCTAAAAATATTTTTGTTCATCTGAACAATAGCTCGTCTTTATAGCTGATTTTTTTTAGGCTATTCGTTTTGTATGTCAATATCCATTTGGTGAAACAAGAAATCTTCTATCTTATTTTCGTTACGTTTTTAAAATATGTTAAATTGATTTGCTTACAAAAGCAGTAAAAGTTTATTTATTTATTTATTTTTTATTTGTTTCAGGTTCGGACATGTAATTACAGTTAATTTGGTCGGGTCGGGTTCGGAAAAAATAGCTACGTGCTGGGGCCAGGCCGGGTCAGAATTTTTTAGGCCCGAATGCAACACTACCCATGATGCACTTGAAGCGTTAGAGCTTGTTGCTGCTGCAAAATAAAAATAACTGAACAAAAGCCTCTCAGCTAGCTGATTGCTAGTGTGGGGAAAAAAAATGATGCTTGATATCAGGGATACTTATTAAATATACAAATGGCTTGCCACAGGACTATTCAAATTACT